ATCCATCCATCCATCCATCCATCCATCCATCCATCCATCCATCCATCCATCCGTCAGTGACGACTGGTAGAGTTTTCTACAGGGGGGGCTATACATTCAAAATAGACCTATACCAAAAACAATCAAGCGTATACTAAGTTATCACACCAGTATATTTCTATGAATGCCAACAACAAAAACATGATAAAAACACTTTATAGAAACAAAACATAATTTCATGTAAAGGTTTACTTTTTGTACATAAATATTTGACTTCTTAAGGCTTTGTGAAGGCAAATCTTTGTTTTGCATGGTTTAATAATGGAGAAGCTTTTAGTCAGCTTTATATATTTTTTTAAATATATAAAAACTATTTTATGAGAATCTGTTTATTTAAGAGCAACTATGCAAAACACCTAAAACAAGCATACTATATTATTTTCCATGTGAATCCCAGATTGTTAATTCTTCTTTTCCTTTTCTAAATAGTGCTTTAAATCAGTCCTAGCTGTCTTCATCCATGCTGGGTCAGATCCTGACCACTGAAAAAGGAGGCAGACAGTCAAGGCAGCAGAATAAAGCATTAGCATCGCTGCATGGAGTTAGCCAAGCCTTACAGTTAAACCAGGACCAAGAAAAAACCAACTGTACTGTCTTCATCTGACTTTTGGACCTTCTATTCAGGTCAAAACACTTTCAACTCTGGCTTCTCTTGTTTGCTTCCCCTCCTCGACTCAGCGTGTCAATCCCCCGCACTACAACTGTGACGACAGTTCCTGTCACCTCACGGCATAGCTTTGGTGCGCCCAGAGCTCTCCTATGCTCTCCTGTATTGAAGATGAGCTAATGTGCATGTACAACTTTTAACGAGAGTTAATGAGCAAATATTTTTGCGCCCTAGCCCGGAAGTATGTCAGCAGTCCGACGAAGGAACAGCTTTACTCATCATTAAAGATAAAATATTTATCTTGCACATCTAAAAAAATATTGCAATATATTTTGAAATATTTAATTTTATAATTTGATTTTAATTAGGGTTTTTTTTTATGTGTTAATCAAGTTCATTCGGTGGGTAGGTAAGTGCCCTAGCGCCCTCTATTGGCCAGCCGCCACTCTTTCCATCCATCCTTCCTTCCATCCATCCATTCCTCTTTTTTGCCTTTCTTATTCTCCAGCAGAACTAGTCTCCAGCTTTAAAAATCCATTCTTCTCAATTAGAACCCATCTGACCAAGCTATATATAAGTTCATATGTCATATAGCTTTTAAGCGAAGTTTGAAACTATATGCTTTCGGTGGTTTTGGAATTGTAGTGGGTTATTTAATAAGATTAGATCAAACCTTGTAATTCTATATTATGAATCAGACCGGGCAGTTGGCTGTTGATTAAATATCAGGAGAGTGTCTTTACCATTCTGTTTTGATCGGTGACCGTCAACTTGAAATACAGTTTTTAAGTTTGGCTGACAGCCTTGAAACCAAATGTATTGGTAAATCAAATCTGGTCAATATTGCTGTTTATCTCTCTTTTTCTCAAGAGTCTTTGTGTTGATACAGGATCTGTTTTTTCTTTAAAAAAAAATAATAATCAGATAATTTTGTCATGTCCTCCAACCCTTCAGCCTGTTGTCTGTTGAACTAAATGGTAATCTCTATGTAGGTGAGAAGCACCTTGATAGGGGAGATGGAGGAGGCGAAGAGGAGCTGGGAGATGGAGCGCTGTCGCCTTCAGCAGGAGGTTCAGGAGCTGCGAGGAGCGAAGAAGCATGCAGATGAAACCCTGGCATTGGCTCAGCAGGCCTGCCAGGCCCGTGCAGCAGAGCTTCGATCGGCTCATCACCAGCACCAAGAGGAGCTTCATAGAACTAAAAGAGACTGTGAGAGGGAGATCCGACGACTGGTAGGAGGCAAAAACACAACTTTTTAAACTGACATTGTTAGCTGATTTGAAACTCTAAGATATACCACAGCCTGTGATATATATATCTGGCATCCCTTAATTTTCTGAGAAACACATTCCCTGCCACCATCCTTTGATTAGGACTTCATTTAAACCGTATTTATCAGCTGGTGTTTCTCCAGGTAATCATCCAACAGTGTTTTGGTTGATAATCTGTACAGCATCCCTTTTGAAAGGCAATCCCATATAAATTTTCTGATCAACTTGATCCCAGTTATGCTCATTTTGTTTTCTATTTTGGAGTGCACAGTTGTTGGATTAACCCAGCATATGACTGGGGGACAGCAGCATACAGACCGTGGAGCTGATTGGTCCAGTGATTCACTGTGACACACTGAGTTGAATGAGCAGAGTCGCACACAGACTGGTACTGCACAGCAACAAAGAGCAACTGTCCCGTTCCACCAACATCACTTTAACTATTCACCAGGATGCGAAAGGAAACCAAAGTCTTTGTGACCTCTGCAGAAGCTCTGATTTTATCTAAGGAGGAGAGGAGATGAACATGATATGAGGAGCCTATTATGGTTCTTTAGGTCATCCGAGTCTTAAGTTCTTCAATTGGAGATTTAAGATGTCTTCTGAAGCTGTGGGCTGGGTCCGCTTGGCAATTTCTAATCTTAGTGTACACTTGTGTTCAAGATGACCTTGACTTTAGGTCAAGGTTTTGAAAATCAAAAAAGGCCTGTTTTCTAGCTGGACACAGAATTTAAATCATGAAACAGCCCGGTGCAAATTCTTCAAGCTAAAGTCATGTTCTGTACCATTTCAGTTATTTAACAGCATCCAGCAGCCCAGCATGCACTCATCACTGACCAGCGGTAATGTTTCCTCAAGGAATTCTAACTTTATCCAGTAGAATGTAACACCATGACCCCTTCCACCATTTAGTTTCCCTTCTCATTATTTCTGTCTTTATAACCTACCACCTGTAAGTCTTCCCTAACGTATCTCTCTTTTACCTGTGATGATGTGGACGTACGCTACTAACCGCCCCTCCCTCCCCACCTGTCTCCCTGTCTGTCTCTCACCCGTGTGCAGATGGATGAGATAAAGCTGAAGGACAGAGCAGTCAGTGTTTTGGATAAAGCTTTGGGGCTGCAGGCTGGACATGCCCACCGGCTCCAGTTGCAGACTCAGGCTGCTGAACAACAAATCGCTGCCCTGAGAGATGCTCAGAGGGTGGGGCTAAACCATCCTGCTTCTAACTCCACCTCTAACAATGCCCCTTTCATTGTAAGCCCTGCCTCTTCCTGCTTCTTTAAAATGCATGGGAAAAAAAAAAAACACTCAACAACCCACAGGTATTGATGGGGTACTATTTTTTTTTTCCTATAATCTTGGAGCCATTAGCAAGTTTGCAGTTGCCATTTTTCTTGTCAATTTAGAACCAGAGTACCATTTTTCTACCTAGATTTAAAAGCGTATGTTCTCTAAACATTTTGAAAAGGCTGTCATAGTGCTCTTCAGTTTTAAACTTTATTAAAATGAAAGTTAAACGAATAGTCATAAAGAGCATCTTAACAAGTTCCATCTCGTTCCATATTGAAAAATGTCTCAATGTAAAGGTCATTTTCTCCACAACATTTATTTCCTGTGCAATTTTCAGTCCAGTCCAATGTCAGTCAAAGAAAAATGTATAAGGAAACTTGAGAGTGCTCAGATCATTAGTACCTTGCTAAAATATGTTAATATAAATAGCCTGTACTTGTATAACGCTTTTGCATGTCAGAAGACTCCAAAGTGCTTTGCATATTAAGTCATTCACACATTCATGCACTGATAGTGGCAAGCTACATTGTAACCACCGCTTTCCTGGGGCACACTGGCAGAGGCAAGGCTGCCGTACCTAGGTGTCACCAGACCTGGCCACCACAGAATTAAGTTATGGTAAAGTGTCTTGTCCAAGCAGTGTTGCCAACTAAGCGACTTTTCAGACCCCTCCAGCGACTCTTTTTCAAAAAAGCGACTAGCGACAAATCTAGCGACTTTTCTGGTGTCTACCGTGGGGAGCCTCACCCATCACAACCCTGTTCTCCCGCTTCCACAGGAGTCCCTCTCAGCGCTGCAGTCAGAGGCACAGCATGTTTACCCTCAGCGTAAAGACTGCAAATGAGCCGCGCACATGCGCTGGGATTGACGGTGCGGGTTGATCACGCTAGACTCCCTCAGTTGCTGAACCTGCCATAGAGAACCTTGACCAACATGACGATGACCCAGTCTTTCTGTGAGCAGGCAAGCACAGCCTGTGTGTGTGGAGGGAAATCTTATTAGTTTAAAAAAATAACAATAATTACCATTATTTGCTCACATTGTCATTGATTCTTTGTAGGCATTTTTTTTGTTCCATTTAGATTGTTAATATTAATGTAATGTAAAAATTTGTATGGTTCAAAATGTTCATGTTTTACCATGCTTTCTAAGCTCCTTAGTGGACCACAAGGGAAAAAAGAAAAAGTAAAAAAAAGTTGAAAAAAATAAAACAATTATGCAAATTAGGCAATGACGTCATTCAGCGACTTCTAGCGACTTATAGCACAGCCAATAGCTACTTTCCTTACAGAGGAGTTGGCAACACTGTGTCCAAGGCCAAGACAACCATAACAGACAGGGCTGAGGTTCAAACTGGTGCTGCTCGCAGTTGTATGGGAAAAGCCCCACATAGTGTCCACATTCCCTAAAATGTGGATTTTTGTTACGGTTTTCATTTCTTGGATGTATTAAATCTGGCTTTTACTGTTATAGAAGCTAGTTCTAGTAGCAGCAAAGTAGAAGTCCTTTTATTGAACCTATTTGTAGCCATTCTTCCTTACTGCCAATCAATTAAGGGTCTTTATGTACAGGCACAGTTTAATCTCCACATCAGTCTATCCTGTATAAAGACAACTCCTTTCCATAAAGTATCTTGTGAGCGTATTGGACCTTTAGCCATTCTGCTTCTTTCCTTTAAATAACATTTATATAACCATCCAAACTATGGTAGAACAGTTAATAGAACCAGCCTTTCTACCTTTCCATCTGGTCTTTTGAACATGCATGTCTAGCTTTCTCTTCTGCATCATGTTAGTCAAGCTTGTAGCTTTTCCTACCATAGTCCCTAATCTCACTTCAAGACTCTTGTCTGCCAACTTCTGTCCTTGCTTGTAACCACATCTTCACCCTCTTCTTCCTTTTGCTAGCCAACATGATACAATCTGGGTCATCAATTTAATGTTGAAAATTTAATGTTGCAAAAGATAACCCCTCCTAACACAATCCACCACATTTATTTGGAACCGTTGTAAGTAGGACAGAGTACATTGGACCACAACCAATCACGTAAAGTATACATTCAAAGCTCTTTTGGTTGGGGATACTTTTCAGAGGTTCAGTGGACAATAAAAAAAACATAACTCTCACGCTATGTCAACCTGCTCTAGATCATAATCAGTCTTTGATTGTTGCATGCATACCATGAGATGGGGCTTTCATTTTTAAAATAGATGTATAAAATGTAGCTCCTGCAACACTGTTCTTCTCAGTGTCTCAGACAGCAGCACTGTTGTGCTCCTGTGATAACATTTGCTTTTAAAGAGGTTTTCAGACTTTGCTCTGCTCAGCTATCCAATACATACCTTTAGGACTTGTAAAACAGCATCAGGAGTTTGTTAAAAATGTTCTTATAGCAACGTTTTTCTTCTTCTTGAAATAATAGCTGTCTTCAGTTGCAGTAGAGTTAATACGGTGCTTTCAATACAGCCCTTTCAGTACTGTACTTTTTCAGTCTAATGTTATTTCTTCACCATAAGAAATATTAATGTGAAGCAAATGCAATGGCATGCTACTCTGCATTCATTTTTTGTTCCGAATAACAGCTCTAAAGGCCTACATCCGGCCTGTGATGCATAAGCATATGGTTTTAGAGAATCTAGAAATTTTGAAAGGTTTTTATTATTTCACTTAGTCATTATCAGCTACAGACACAGTCCCTTGATATAGCATAAAGCAAAAATAATTTTTTCTGTCACACAAATAGATTTTGGGCCTCCATAGTGTTACTCTGATCCTGTCGGGGGATAGATATTTTCCTTTGCCGTCTATCAGATGCTCAAATATTAAAGCTACCATCTACCAAATTTATATCAGGATTTTTTTTTCTCTTTACTGAAAACTGTTATGTTGCCGCAATTATCTCACTGCATTACTGCATTCTGTTTTGAGCAAATCATTTTTGTCTTTCATCATGTTTTGGTTGATTTTATTTAATTTTTTTAATGGAAGTTGTTGAATTTATACACTTATACAACTACTGAACTGTTGAACATGATTTAACCTCTGTGTGTATTGATGATCGGCAGCCTCTTATTCTGTAAGAATTCTGGTCTTTAAATCTTCTGTCCAAGATGATGAATCAGTCCTGTAGCTTCATTCCGATTCAGAGGGAATCTGTATTCTACCATTGACGCCACTCGAGCAGCTCATTCACAATATCATGCTTGATTCATTTTCATTTGCCAATCCCTCTCCAACCTAGAATTAACTCTAGTTGTCATTGCAAAGGTTAGGGAGCAAAAAACTTCGACTTCTTGATATGATGACAACAGTCGACTGCATGGTGGTGCTGTTTGTAGCACCGTTCCCTTGAAACAAGAAGGACCTGGTTTTAAATCATGTGTTCTCTCTGTACATACGTGGATTTGTTGTGGGTGCTCTGGTTTCCTCCCAGTCCAAAACCACCAGTTAGGCTAACAAGCAACTCAAGTTAGGCTAATAAGCATCACATAAATTATATTTAAGTGTCAAATCATTCTGGCTTAAACATGTATATAAATGTAATCTTTATCAGATGATATTGTCCCAAAATTTAGAAAATTTCTATTTTAAAAGAAATCATGTCTTAAAATCTGTGGGGTTTTTTTGTTATTTTTCCATTATCTTATGCAGGCAAGTTAATTACACGTCAGCCTGTATACCTAGATTCGGCCAATCATATATCAATGGTCATCTGTCAATCAAATTTTTTTGGTCATTGCATCTTGATTCATATGTTGCAGCTAATATACACAACGGTTGAAATAAGAATAATTTCCTTTCCCATTGAGTTCCGTGTCAGTGTTCAGGGGAGGGACATCTGTTTCTTCAGCAGGCGTAGAGCTAACAGAACTGGCAGCGTTGCGAGGCAAGGGCTCAAACATGTACGGCTGTAAGCCTTCCACACCAAACCAAGCTTCTGCCTCCCTGCCGTCCTCTTTCACAACATCTTCGTCCAGACTCATCTACGACCTCTGACACTAAACTCTCCTCCTCTTGCATGTTTCCGCTGTCCATAGTGTTCCTTGACAGTGTCGTTTCCAAGTCACCAATTTAGTGCTACTTGGTCCCAATGTAATTTCCCATTGGTACTGTAACCTACTAGCACTAAGTTGCTAACTGATTAGCAACAATGCTTTTGACAAACCGGCCACAACAAAACTTGCTTGTGAACCTTCCGCCACAACAATCCCGCCCCCTTGTTAAACGACCAATCACATTCACTTTATTCACTCCTGTAAAGTCGGTCACCACTCGGGAGAATTCGGAAATGCAACAGTTGGAACAGCCGATTCCCTACGACTTTAAATTGTGCTATGAATCAATTCCCCGAAATTAAAACCTTCCATACATCACTGCTATTATACAACTGTATGTAACAGAATATGAACTGAACCTATTCGTCTTGTTACTCTACTGTAGTAAATTTGGCACTAAATTAGTGCTGTTAAGCCAGACCTAACTTAAACTTGTGGGAGTGTGCGGCACAACTGGAACTCTGCACTGTTTAATCCTTTGGATAAAAAAAAACATATGACGGAATAAATAATATCTACTCAAGAAAGAAATCCCTTCTTTGTTTACCAGAGATCATTTTAGGGAACTTGCACCAAAAGGCAAAGCACAAGACAATACATCAAATTTTAAGGTCATATCATCAGATGATCAACCAATAAAACCCCCCAGAACAATTGTTTTCTTAATGGAAAAGACCTTCAATTGGACCTTCAAATATATTAGTTCTTTTAATTGCCTTAATGGTTCATCTTACTGTTGTATTTGTTCAAAACAGGCTTCTTGAAGTATATATTGATTCTCTGATCTTTTGTTGTGTGCAGTCTCAAGATGACCGAGATACTCGTAGGTTTCAGCTGAAGATTGCAGAGCTAAGTGCAGTCGTCAGGAAGCTGGAAGATCGAAACTCTCTGCTGTCTGAAGAACGAAATGAACTGGTAAAGAAACATTACTCTCCAAAGCTTGGTCACTTAAACAAAGTTCTTCCCTGACCTTCTGGTCACCTTATGGATATGAAGGATCCCGATTACCAAAACCATAGTAAGACACATGGCTTAAGTTTGCAGCTGTGGTCCAATTTGTTCTGGTCGCATTTTTTCTCTTGATAACTTTTGGCACATTTATCTGTCCATACAATTTTTTTTTTTTTTGCATTTATTTAGTAAATTTCTGTCATTTTCAGCTGAAACGTCTGAGAGAAACAGAGAGTCAGTTTCTTCCTCTTCTTGATAAAAACAAACGTCTGAGCAGGAAAAATGAAGATCTCGCTCTTGCGCTACGTCGCATGGATAACAAACTTCGCTTTGTGACCCAAGAGAACATGGAGATGGCAACTATGGTAACTATGATAGCCAAGCATAAGCACTCATTTTTCCATTTGAACCAGTTAAATAATATCAAAGTAAAAGAAAATGGCTCAGTTGCAGAACAATCATCATTGTTTAATTACTGCATCCCACCAGCAGGCGGCAGTGTCCATGTGGATCCAAATACAGTAGACAAACACAAACCAATGATTGTCCACAGAGCTCACACTTAACCCTTTTATATATACAATAAACAAACAAATGATTCTTACTTTTGTTTCAGTCAGCCGATAAACAAAGGAACAAATGAAATGGGTGTTTTTGTTTCTCTGCAGAGGAGACCCAGTTCATTAAATGACTTGGACCGAAGCCACTCTACAAGTTACCATGGTTACAACCAGGATGAGAGGGAGATGGAGTTTCTACGCCTACAGGTGGTGGAGCAGCAACATATCATTGATGACCTCTCAAAGGTACAACACATACTATATTACTTCTGGAACTTCTGTGGTACTTTCCTACTGCAGAACGAGCTTTCAAACATCCTCCGCTATCACACCCGTTTTGAATCTCAAATTTGTATTTTCAGGCTCTAGAGACGGCAGGTTATGTAAAGAATGTCATCGTAAGTATTCCACACAACTGTGTCAGTACTATACTAGTGAAATGCTTTGTATGTAATCCGTGTAAATTCAGAGGCACCAGGACATATTTGTCTACAGTATCCAGTCAGCTGATAGGCGTGAGAGCCAGAATGGTGAAGGTCAATCAGCTGAGCAAAGAATTTTGGTTTCTTTCTTAGGAGCGAGACCTGTTACTGAGGTATAGACGGCAGGAACCGGTGAGGAGGAGGAGAGCCTTCAGAGCCTGCAGGGTGAGAATCCTGCAACAACGCCTGTGTTTGGGCTTTGAGAAACAAAATCACTCACCACACTGAGCTTTTTCTGGTACTACCAGAACCACTCAACAGACGACCCATTCAATAAACCATCATTATTAATAAACCTACAAACACATAGAGTACTTATACTGCAGGGAGTATAAATAACACGGATTACTGCTGTTTATAACTGAACCCAACAATTGATCTGATGGTAATATTTACTGTTAATTGTTATTGTAGGTAGAACCTCAAAGAACATAGAAAAAAGGATTATATTTCAAACCAGCTGGAAGCTTTAGTTTGTTGGTTCTGAACAAAGCTTATAGTAGGCTCTGGTTTCACCTTTAGGCTGGTGCCTAAGCATGGATGTCATTTTGTATTATCCTACCCTAATCTTTTATTGTTTTTGTTCAATTGCTCCTATTGCTGTGTTTTCAATTCACTTTTATGAATTTTGAATTGCTTTGGTCAATATTTGTAGTTTTTATTTATACTACATAAAAGCATGACATCAGCATGGGAAACGATAAGAAAAATAAAATAAAATGATGTGCAAAGTATGGTGTTTTACAACAAAGGCTGAATACATAAAAGGGCAAATTCAAATTAGGTAATCCAGTAGGTAAAGTATATATGTTAGCCCAGGTCAGGATTTTCAGTGTCTACCAATTCTTAATAATTGTAGACAAAAATTCAACTCAAATAAGACTAAAAAAGTATATTGTGAAAAAGGTGACTCAGGTAATAAGTAACTTATGATAAAATTTGATTTAATATTTAAAATCGATGTTATCATGGAC